TACCTCTTTCCCACTGGCCGAAAAACCCGTTTAAACCCGGGAACAGTCGGCTTTTAGTGGTAGTGGAAACAGCTCACTGATGCATGTCTAAACGGGTCAAACGACTCGGCGAGCGACCCGTGTTAAAATCGCCTCGGCTCTGATTGGCATGGTGTGGGAACACCAGACCTGGGTTGACCTGTTAAATTAAGTGACATCTTTGAACCGAAGTACAGACGTCAACACATCGCGCCAGTCGCTTCTGATCTAACAAGCTGAAAAAACTCTTTTTACATCTGATAAACATGGTGCAACACTGGTAAAACGCACGCACGCTCACTCAGCGTGATGCCTTCATCAGACACGAGGTGGTATGGGACAGTGGACATGCAGCTTGCCAGGAGGGGGTCAGATTTGGTTTTTCAGTCAAATGGGCTAAGAGCCAAAAGCTGATTGTTAGCTGCTAAACCCAGTTTTCAAAAACCCGGGTTTTAGATGCGGAAGCAGCTCAACATGGAAGCATTTTTCCTTATATCTGATGAGCAAATTCTCCCACCTGAGCTGTGGATCTCTGCAGCTCCTCCTGAGTAAAGCCTGGGTTTCTAGACTGTTGCTCCTCCTTTCTATGTCTGACTAAATCAAGCTGTGCAACATTACAAAAGCTTGAGCTGCTCTTTAAACGTTAAACGTCTCACACCTTCGCTAACCAGACATCTTCACCGCTCAGACCTTTTTTTGTCTTCTCTGAAGGTGTTGGAGGATTCCCGACAAATCCTGGTCGCAGCCAACATGCGTCCCAATGATCCCTTCCCTCTGGACGATAAGATCAAAGAAGGTACAACTCACTTTTTTCTCCATTTCTATCCGTTAGTCTCTACATCCTTCATTTTTTTATGCCTACATGTCATCATCACTACAGCTTACTCGCATGTGGTGGAGAACACGGCGTTTTTCGGCGACGTGGCGCTTCGCTTCCCACGCATCGTCCACCACTACTACGACCGCAACTCCGACTGGGGAGGCCTGCTGCGCTGGGGGCTGAATTTCTGCAACCAGACGGGAGTCTTCACAGGAGGAGCCCATCAGCATGTCCTCACACTCGTAAGACCACACAGTTCTGACATGTAGCGTACCTGTCAAAAACAAGTTTCCACAACATTTGCAAACAGCTTTAGTTCTAAGAGACTCTAGGAGAAAAATCTGACAGAAAACTGGGAACTGATCTTTTTATTAGTTTATCTCTATATGTAATTTTATTTTTGCTTATCTGGTTTAATTGTGGGACGTAATGATGTACAGTTTCGCTACAGACCAGTTCTTAGTAGTCCATGTGGCTCTGCAGGGGGATGGAAATTAATCCAACACCTCTGTCACTATAAAAACTGGTTATATTCCTATATTTCTCAATGATGCAAAGAGGACAAGCCTTTGAAGTAGAAATGAGCAACACTGATGAAACAGTTCCCTCCTTTTTTATGTTAATTAACTTAACTATCAGGATTATCCTGCAACTTTAAATCTACCAAGAGGATTACAGAGCAGATTAATTCAGAGTCTAAGCTGCAGTTTGCACCCTGAAGGTGTTGGTTCAACCCTCAGTGCTGCAGTAGTAATCCCACATTTAGTCTCTTTAAAAAAAGAAAGTGTTTCATCTCCTGATTCTCCTGCATGGTCTTGTCTTTTCTGCTCCTCTCTCAGATGTCACAGGAGCTGGGAATAACGGAGAAATCCCCGGACTTTATAAATCCATACCGCACAGAGAGAGACGACGTGAGTATTAGGCAACCTTCCCACCATCTTTTTTCTTTTTTTGTTCTATATTGCTTTTTGACTTTTTGGTATATTTCAGTTTGATTTTGACTTTCTAATGGGATGTTGGTCATTTCTGATCATTGTATTCTGAAATGTTTTGCACCAGTCATAAACAATTCAGCTTCTAATCTCTGATATTAGGCTACTGTGTACACTTATCTCAGTTTAAAAAAAAAAAATCCTGTGCAAATATTGCAATATTACGTCAGTATTTTATTTCCTAATAATTCTGGGTTGTCCCTAAAGTTCTGCAGGTTCTTCAGCCTTTTTAGTGTCGTTCAGAGCTAAAGTGGGAGCATTTTGACTAATGCTGTCTTTTCACCAGATTTATTTCAGTTTTTTTGTTTCGTTTGGAGATTCCCACTGAGAGAAGCAGGAACACTAATTATTTTTAATTTTATGATGTAAATCATAAATCAATTTGAGAATGGAAATGCAGGAGATCATCCTGCTGGTTTGAACCCAGCTCTGTCCATTTCTGTTGGTCTCTTTACAACAGCCTGTGCCTCAGAGCAACTGTGGCTACAATGCAGCTTGACTGAATATAAAACGGTTTAAGTCACAGTTTAATACCCAGTAGTACCTTTTCGAGGCTTCTTGGTGAGACTTTATCTGAGTATTATCATTCTTACCAATTTAAACAGCGTGTTGAACCCTTATTAAGGAAGTTCTAGTGAAACTATCAAGAAAACAAATCATGCAGCTTTTAGAATGTCAATGGTGAGATCATTTGGGCTCATTTGTGTAAACAAAAACAAAAAAAAGCTATATTCCAGTGTAAACATTTATTTTAATCTGCTACCAATCAAAACGTGACGTTCACAAAACCTCAAACTAATCTTCCTAATTTTTAATTGAATTTTTGAATAACTTTGGTCATGTTGAGTCAAATGCCATCAAATTTGGCAAGGTTTTGGTTTCTGAGTGAATTTGAAAATTTGTTTTTAAATTAAACTGAACAATTAATGTACCTTCTGCATGTTTCTGTCTTATTTGAAAGTCCTGTTTCTAATCCAATACTATTTTTTCACTTCAGAAAGTAAAACAAATCCAAACATTTATTCAAATATTTCTATGTTTGTTGATGTGTGTGTGTGTGTGTATGTGTGTGTATATATATATATATATATATATATATATATATATATATATATATATATATATATATCTTTTTACTATATAATTCACTTAAAATATTACTGTAGTTTCAAAAACGAAGACTAGACTCATAAGAACAATTAGGACCTTATTATTTATACATTTTTATATTGTTTTTTATTTGTATTTCTAACAACAGGCTTTAGTTCCTGTATCTGACAATTAAAAACCATCATAAATTTTGATGGACTATGGACCATGGACCTTTCAGGGCCAAAATGAATTGTGGTTTTTATTTGAACAAAACTATAAAATGTATACTGAAAAATATTTTATAATGGAAGGTAAAGGACAGTATTTCAATCCTATTCTCTTGTCTCGTGTCCCTCAGGTTCTTCACACAGCTGAAGCCTTCCAGAAGATCCTAAGGGAGGAGGAGAAGAGGAGGAGGAAGGAGGAGAAAAGGAAAGAAATCCGGAAAGGTCCCCGCATCTCCCGCTCTCGCTCTGAGCTATAGCGCTACTCACCAGTGAGGAGCAGGAGAAAAGGAGTGGAAGAACCAGGGGGAGTTTGCACAGGTCCACATGGAGTGGCCTGACATGTAGACTGAGATGACGGTGAAGGAAACAAAAGCTGCCGTCTGTTGTACAAAAACGAAGGTGCTGTGAGGAAAAGAACAGATGAGCCCTCAATGTGACCGGATGAGGTGGTTAGTCAGGTTCTGATCGAGGCTTGAACTGCTGTCCACCAGCAGGGATTTCTAATTGGAGAATCTTATTTGTTTTACAAGATCTTTCTGGGGGAAAAAAAAAGAAAGCTGGTTTCAATTTTAGAGGCGACAGATTTATCCCCCCGGTAAAGATATGAAATAAATCAACCTTTTTTTCTTTATTTCAAATTTATTATGACCATGAACTCTGAGGGTCACAGATCCTCTGTCATACTTGTCTGCAGGAATATTTTTTTGTTTCATGCAAAAACCTGCTTTCAGTCTTTGCTGCTGTGAAGATACACCTCAGTTTGACTTGACCAAAGCACCACATCCTAAAAAGGACTTAAAAAATGTAGTTTTTCCTAGTATTGCCTCTAAACAACTGGTTTACAAGCAGAAAGTCACAGATTCAAAGTCCCTTAAAACTCTGAATGCTTTAAAAATTAAAGAACAAATTTAAAAAATAAATAAAATTTTGTTTAAGGGATTGTTAAGGCAGCTGCTTTATTTGGTTAACATTTGATTTGATTTTTTCCCCTCTTTATCTAAACGATTCTAATTTTTTATTTTGTTTTATAGTGAAGACATTGCAGCAATAAAAGAATAATTAATTTCAGCGCATTTTACACATCTTTACCAGGGGAGCCAACACATGAGCTTTATATGGGATCTTGTAACTGAACTTTTGCATATTATTTACTTAAAAAATATTTACTTCAGAACTTTATAAACCCCTAATGTGTTATGTCTGGTCCAGATTTAATGTGTGTAAAACCCATATTCTTTGAATGTGTGTAGTTGCAGAGTATAAATTTGACCTCATTGAAACGTGGCCTGGATTTTTGGGGATAAGCTTAACTAGTTTTTCATTTTGAGGAGGTACATTTTGCTAAATGTTTTTTCCCTCAAGTTTTCGAAATTTCTTGCTTATTGCTGCTTAAAGTTGCAGAAACATCTCCTATTTTGACTTCTTAGTAAAGAACATTTATAATTTCCTTTTTTACTCTTTGGAAAGGGATCACATTGATAGTCTTTTTTTTCTTTCTATTTTTTTTACCTTATGCTTGCCTATGCTTAATGTGTTTCTATTAAGTTGAAGTATGAATTGTGGGCCTTCACCTCGTCTTTTATTAAACATGTTTTCTTGTTAGATGTGTTATAACTTAATGCTTTATATCTATGAACCAATATTGGTGTAATTTTAAAGTAGTGAAATGACTGTTATAAAAAAAAAGTTATATGTATATTTAGAGAAACTATATCATTGCTGCAAAACCAACAAGCCATTTTGTTAAGCCCTATAAAAAATAAAGTGATTCCAATAAGTTTTAATGAATGATGTTTTTGTTTTGGTTGTTCAAAGATCAACCACTAGGGGGCAGCCATCAGACAGCTCTCTAAACTGATCAAAGTTCAACTATTAGCTTTTCAGGCTCCAGCTTGGTTCTGGTCGCTTTTAATAGATTCCCCTAAATGTTGAAAGTCTATTAATACATTTATGGGTTAAATAAACATCAATATTTGCATTGGGAAACTGTTAATCCTGCTGTAACGCGGAGCAGAGGTAAGCTGGAGAGATGACAGGCTTGTTAGCAACATGCTAACATTAGCAGGCTTAATTATAACCGGATCGGACGTTAATAGAAGGGATTCCTCTTGATTAAATGCTACTGATAGATGGCGGTTAACTTCTTTTATCGTGTCCAAAGAGAGCTGAATGTTATTGACGTTTCTATGCAGTTTTCCAGAAGCTTCTGCTTCGATCCAGAATAAACATTTTACAGTTTATAAACACGAACTAATCTGCTCAGCTGTCAGTGGAGGTTGATCTTTGCTTTTTTTCACACCGGACTATGTCATCGTAAATAAAAATTAACAATTTAACAACCTAGAGCCTCTAATGCACATGTTTAATCAGGTGATAACCTTAAAAATGTAATGCTGTTCAGACTCCAGGTAATTAACTTTTTGGACAGATGCTAAGAAAAACATTTACAGTTAGTTTAATAATATTTGTCTCTTAAGCTTTTGAAGCCTTTTTTTACTCAATGTATGTTTAATAATTGTAACTTCTTTTCCCTCATTTAGTTAAACTTGCTCATTTAATTGTAGTTTACAAAGTGCATGTATTTTTCCTTGAATTAAACCTTCTTTTGTCTTCTATGTTTCAACTGGATGTATTGAGTAAAATGCAAATGAGTCTTTACAATCAATAAGTAAAGTAAATTTGCAGGACTGCCAACTTTTCACCAAACATTGGGGTTGGAGGATTTAACTGAAATAAAGTGTCAGAATGTGGGATTTTTATAGCACAGTAAATGTTACTGAGTAACAATAAGTGATCTGTAATTATGTGGAACATTTTTCTCACAATTTAATGTTATTTTCTATATTCTGGTGATTTTTAGAGAATTGAAGTAAAGAAGTATAGGCCCGATGGAATTACTTTCATCTTAAATATTCTTTAAGATTTTCACAACTTTGTTTATTAATTATTCTCTGCAGTTTAAGTAAAATAAACAATTGGGAAACTAATAAATTATCACTGGATTACGGGCACTAATACAGGAACCAGTGCAATCGAAATCCATGCAAACTACGCTGCATCAATTTTTTTGTAATAGGCTAAGGATTAAAAAGCTTCATTTATTATGATATTAGTTTTTTTTTTATATAATTGACAAAATGGCTAAACAGTTCAGACCTTTAGGAGGGTCTAGATTTTATAAAAACTCACCATGACACAAGACAGCACTTTTCTGGATAATTTATTTGGAAAAAGCGATGGAAATTCAATTATTGTGGTTTAAGGTTTATAACTGGTAGTAAACGTTTGATGCATCGTTGTGATTTGTATGCAAAAGCTGATTGGCCTCCTTTAAATGTTCGGAGAAACAATCATCTGATGATCCTAATATATAAATCTCTCCTTGGACTAACATCAACATACTTAAGCTCTATCTTGCATAGATCTAGTAGTTCAAATTTTTTATGCTCAAATGTCTTTATTCTTCTACATGTTCCTCGTGTTCGAACTGATAAAGGAAAGAAAGCGTTCAGTGTGTTTGCTCCTACAGCGTGGAATCAGCTCCAGTCTGAGCTCAAGATGTCAGACACTATTTCATTGGACTTATTTAGAGCGGTTCTTAAAGATAGACAACAAGCTTCTATGAAACAATGTCACTGCTTTTAAATTGTTATTATTGTTTTATATGTGTGCATATGTATTAATTGGTTTTATTTTTGTAACCAGGTTGCAGCGTATTGCAGATCTCTGCCCAGGTCCCCCTTGAAAATGAGATCCAGGAGTTTACCTGGTTGAATAAAGGAAATGAAAAATTTAAATTAAGTTAACATATTCAATGGACCAAAATAAGGATAAATTAATAAGATAAGAAATAATAAAATGAGAACATCCCTGTGGTTCTGCCTTTATGAATCCTGGATAACTTAGTTGTTCTGCACATCCTGCACATCTGATTTGAAGCTTGGAACCAAAAATATCTGCTCAAATCTACTTTATATTGTTAGTTTTCAGGTTAAAATGATTGCCAGAAAAGATCATGGCCGTATCATTAACGGTTTGTCTGTTTCTGGTAGAGAAGCCAAATTCAACTCCTCTCTGTATGTGGTTGGTTTTTTATTGGGTGGCGGATCTTTTGAAAAATAAAATGCAATGATTCTTTTTCTTTTTGTGGAGCTGCTATGGGTTTGAGAGGCAAACCTGAACTCAAGTGCTAGATTGCTTAAAATCTTCAATAATTTACAAAGAGAATTATCTCAGTGCAGATGAGATAAGATAAAATTAAGATGACATACCTCGGAACAACCGTCTTTGTTCAATATCTGGCACAGTGAATAGGTAGGAATACGGACTGGATATGAACCTGGCATGTCCTGCTGTGTTAGCACTAAGATGGTATTAGAAATCACCATGGTGTTTTCATACATAAATAAGTGGAACGGAGTAGAGTTTTAATGTCTGTCATTTTTTAGTGTGAGAAATTGGGAATATGGAGTGAGAGGTTTTGAAGACACTGAGATGGGTGAGTCTCACTCCCAGTCTGTTTACAGCAGTATTTGGGACTCAAATAAACATGTATTTTGTCTGATATATGGACAAACAGGAAACTCTTCCTCTTTGACCAAATAAGTGGTGCAATTTTGCAGAATGTCAAAATAATAAAATGACCTTTAAGGGCTCTAACTGTCTATAGCTGTAGTGACTAATTAGCTCACCTTTGGTCGGCCGTAAACCCTGACAGATTAATCAAAATTACCAATGATGTATTTACATAAATAAGTACAATTATGCTTTTATGATTGACCCATTATGAAAGTTTCTTGCATAACACAAATCCATATATACATAAAAAAACTACTTTTTAATTGGTTAACCTCAAACTGAGGAGCAAAGGTGACAATTTATTTGAAAAAAAAGCTGGTCAGCAGTGTGAAGTGTGATTCTAGCAATAAATGTGACTTGATTAAGTAATTTAAATGCGTGTTGGTTTCAGAACTGAAGTTTTTGTACAGCTTTGACCCACTGATGTCAGATTAGAAATTAAAAGGGAAGAATATGGCTTCAAGCTGTGAGTAATGGTGCCATCAAATCAGAGACTCTGAAAACATTTTCATCTGTTTCTTTGCTCAATCACGCCTGATTCCATTGATTGCTGTTTAGGAAAGCCGGTTAATCAGCCAAAACTTTAAATCAGGTGTGTTGAAGCCAGAAAACACTAAGAATATACAGGATAGTGTGCCTTGAGGACCAGGGTTAAAAAAGAAAAAGTCTAATATTTCCATATTTAGAAAGTTCTTTAGTAAACAGAAAATAATAAAGAGAGCAGCACAGGGGTAATAATATAATTTCTGTTACAAAAAACAATAAGACAATTTATGGTTAGGTTTTTTTTTGCATTCATCGTGTAAAGAGTCTGAAGGACAAAAGGTTTCACTCTGCCGCATTGGGCTCCACTCATCGTTTCCTAACCCCAGCCAATGTAGCGTGAGGGGCTTTTCACTGAGTATCAGGCTAGAGAAATGTTGAGATTTGGAAAAGCAGAGATAAAATTTGGGTTTAAAGCTGAAAGCAGCTGCAGTGTTTGAGCCGTTTGGATTGAATTTCATCATGTAACACAATAATTCCTGGGATGGTTCATTGTCCGGCAAAATTAGGTATTGTGACCGGTGAAGTCTTGCTCTCTCTCGCTCTATTGCAGCTCGAGTAAAACGTAGACACATCAGTCAAAGTTGTCTTCTTTTTAAATAGTTTCTTACAGGTTTATACTTCTTTTTTTATGTTCTGTCATGCAGTGTAGCACCTAGAATTGATCGTAATGTAATACAAAATGTATTTATTCATTTATTCATCTATATTAAATAATGTATCAAATTTTGAAGTGTAGTTGAATTACTACTTATTTAACAACTAAAACATTGGTATACAAAATGCAGCATTTTGTCTTTTTTAAACTCAGTCCACCCCTCAGTTCATCACCGACCGAGGTAATTAAACATAAATACCTGAGATTTCCTGAGTTGGAGAGGTCACTTTGTTTCCACGATGTAAAAGCTGATAATAAATTACAGTTCCAAAGTGGCCGCAGCCTAAAATGTGACAAAACGTTTGTTTTACGCCACAGCTGGAGCAGCAGGAAGGAGAAGTAATGCAGGCGGATTAAGACGAGGACAGAGGCGTGACAGACGAGCGCAGAATAGAGACAAACGGCTCAACTAATGGATTAGGAATTAGAAGTATTCATTTGCGTCACAAGGGGAAATTTCTGAGTCATGAGCATAATGGTATGGGCTAAGATGAAGGTATAAGATAAAAATGGCATAGTGATAAATGTTACACGTCTTAATCTTAATTGGGCTTCTGATGCATCTTTGATCAATGTTAATCAGCAGTAATTAAATAAAATTGCCATTTCTTTTACAGTATTTCCAGCTGACATTGAGAACAAAACAGACGGTGAAATGGAGGAGGACCATAGAGGTGCCGAGTCTGAAAGCAACCGGGTCGAAGAACTCCGACTAGTCCTGATTGGAAAGACGGGATCTGGAAAAAGTGCTTCTGGAAACACCATCCTGGGCCGGAGGCAGTTCCTGTCGCAGATCAGCGCCAGCTCCGTCACCCAGATCTGCGAGGTGGGCATCGCAGAGGAAGAGGAGGCAGAGCAGGACGTTCAGAGGAGGAATAGGAAGATATCGGTGGTTGATATGCCAGGGTTTGGTGACACTCACCTCAGTGTGGAGCAGATCCATGCAGAGATTGCTAAGTGTGTGTCTCTCTCAGCTCCCGGTCCACACGCCTTCCTCCTTGTGGTTCCGGTCGGACGATACACGGACTGTGAGAACCAGGCCGTGTGCCAGCTGACTGACATATTTGGTCTGGATGCCGTCTCTAATCACACTGTAGTTCTGTTTACCAGAGGGGACGATCTGGACGGGATGGGGATAGAGGAGTACCTGAGAGATACAGCACCTGCTGGACTTAAAGCTCTGATTGAGAGGTGTGGCGGTCGATACCATGTTTTCAACAACAAAGACCAGAGCAACTCCTCTCAGGTTAGAGAGCTGGTGATGAAGGTGGATGAGATGGTGAAACGAAACAATGGAGGCTTCTATACTAATGCAGTGTTTTTAGAAGCAGAGGCGGCCATCAGAGAGGAGCAGGACAGGATGCTGAGGGAGAGAGGGCAAGCAGAGCAGGAGGAAAGAGAAACCAAGGAAGTGAACAGTAGGAAGCTTGCAAAACGTAGAAAGTGTGATTTAGAGTCAGGTGGAGGGGAGGACAAGGATTTCAGGGTGGAGGTATGGGCGGAGGAAAGCGGGAGCAGTGGCTTCAGAAGCCTCAGAGATCGGCTTAGAGAGAGGAATCGGGGCGTCGGTGGGGTGGACAGGAGGAGGCAACCATTCCGTTCATCCCTGAGGAGGGAAGCTGCTCTCTCTGCTAAGGTCCTGGATAGGGTGAAAATCCTGGTGGCAGCCGGAGCGACGGGCATGGCGGTGGGAGCCGTGTTTGGAGCCGCCGCGCCTCTGGCCGCTGCAGCCGGGGCCTCCCTCGTAGGGAACTCGGTGGGGTTTGCTGCAGGACAGTTAGCAGGGATGTCTGTAGCAGGAGGCACAACAGTTGGTAAAGCTGTGGGAGCAATAGTGGCTGCGGCCTCTGGAAAAACAGCCGTGGCTCTGGGGGCGGCGACGGGAGGGGTTCTGGGTGGCTCTATGGGACTTGTTGCTGGCGCTGAAGCTGGCAGTTCTCAGGAGGGCGCTATAGACGCCCTGAGGCAGGTAAGCATAGTGGGTGCCTCTGCTGTGGGAGTGGCAGCAGGAGTGGGCTGTGCCATGGGAGCAGGAGCTGCTTTGGGCGCAGCTGTGGACGGAGCAGCAGCCCTAAGTGGAGCAGAAATGGCACCCTCTGCCACTCAGGGGAGTTTACCTGCAGCAGCGCAACACGCGCTGGTTTCTGCAGGAGCTCCTCCGGCCGCCGGAGCCTTGGTTACAAACGTCCCAGCTGGGGCCATGTGTGAGGTAGCGGGGCCTGCTTCGGGTCACTGGGGGGCTGTGACAGCGACTACTCGACTCTTAAACGCGGTGGCTGAGATCGGGAAAGCGGCAGCAGGCATTGCTCTAGCAGGAGGGTTGGTAGTGAAGGTGGTGAAGGAGAAAGTGAGATCAGGCAGCAGCACAGCAGAAAGCAGCTACTCAGAGAGGAAGTCATATGAAGTCTACTGGAACAAATAAACTAGAACTTCTTCCATAGTAAACTGCTTTTCAGGCCACTTCTTCTTAACCCAATCTCAAAAAGGGACACAGCCGCTTGATTTTAATTTAAGAGGAAAAGCACTCCCAACATAATTTTATAGCCTCACTGCAATCACTATTCATTATTTGTTTAGGGAGGTGACGTCACACCCTTGTGTAAAAGATAAGCGGAACTGATGTGAGACAAAGATGAAATAATGACAAAGGTGACATTTCAAACCAGATTTAGCATTTCTATAATAGCAGCTAGCGCCGATAGCATGAACAAGAACATGGATCCTTCAACTCTGAGATTTCCAAAATGCTGCCATCATTTCTAAATAGTATTTGATTACAGGTGAACTTGAAATGAGATCAGACACATTTCTCTTTACTTTATAAATCCTAGTTTTACCTGCTTAATCTTCTTTTTGATAACGTAAATTAATAGTCGAGACATTTTGATATGTTATGATAAGTGCATTTTTCATTATAGCCTTCTCTGATGCTGTTTTAAAGACTTTGCTAATACTGAAAAAGTTCAAACTGACATTTCTTCCTTCAGCAACAACTTCCACACTGCAGAGTGTTGTCGTTACTGGAAACAAAACCTTTTGAGTATTGTAGTTTCCCTACTTGGAAAAACTGACCCGCTGAGTGATGCTGAAAGTGTAATTTGACAGAAAAAAAAATTAAAATATGAATATTTGTTTGTGTGAAGGTTTAGTTGTGGTATTGTGGGTTGAAATGAAACTGAAGCTCTGATGATTCATATGTATTTTTAAACCTGAGTTTAAAACTTTGCACTTCTAGAAAACAGTTGATGTTTTTGCTCTTTTCAGCCGTTTTTACAAATTTCTCTATTGTAATAAAGTGCTCCTTTTTAAGCGGTTTAAACTAATGGATGTGTTGTTTTTATCTGTTTAGATGGTATTAAAAGTGTGGGGGGGGGTATGTCCTTCATACTAACAGTATCAAACTTAGTTTTTCATATTTCAAAATTCAAAAAAAATGTTTAGAGTGAATCAGGTATCTTCTCTGTTTTGATTTGTGGGACGTTACAGAAATTAAAATCTGAAAGTGGGAGATGCTCAAAGCTTGGATCGTAGTTTTATAATCTAAGCCTATTTTGTAATCTTCCACAACTTTATTATTAACCTGCCTGAGAGGTTTCCTCATGTTCATGATGTTGTTTGCTCTCCAACAAAACCTCTAAATCCTTCACATCTGGACCTGGACCTCTGAAGGACTGGAAGATTTTCTGGAGTGTCAGAGAGAGAAGAGTTGAATAGAAATGCAAGCCACACCTTTAGGATTTAATTTCTACATTTCAATGTACACATATACATATTAAACTTAGTATGTGTACTACAGCTGTAGTACACATAATAGGTTTAATATTTATATATATATATATATATATTTATATATCTTTATATATATATTATAAATATATATATGGAGAGATAGTTATATATACAGAGTAGAGTAGTAACTAGCTATATTAACGTGAGTAATTTGTTGAAAAAAGTAGTTTTCAGAGTTTTTGCTTTTTTTTTTTTTACTTGAATAGTGTCAGTAATATCACTACAAGTGTTACAGTATGTTTTTTCAGCTTATTCCAATAGAAAACAGACTTAATTTAACAAAATCCTTCTGACATTGACAGTGGAGATTTATATTAAAATTAGCATCTGTATTTGTACACAAGCTTGCTATTTATCTACTGAGTCTTTAAAGTCAAGTTGATTTACAGTAAATAGTAGATAGTGACACTGGAGGTACCGTATATGGATCCAGTGTGGATTTGTATGTTTTTTGTTTAAGATTAAAAAAAAAAACAACAGAAAAAGTGTTTTAGTTTGATATAATTTATTTTTTAGTTATTATTCATTTGTACTTATTTATTTCTAGTTTTTAAAATACCAGAATTTGCAAACAACCATCTACTTTTTTATGTTTTTTTGCAATTTAAATAGTGAATCAGATCTTATAATTAGTTTGTCAGTGTTGAAGTAGCCTTTTTTTTTATTTCCCTTGTTTAGTCTCTTATTTTGTTTACACTTTTCATGTTTACTTTTGTTCCTGCATGCTTTTATTTGCAGTTTGCTGCTGGCCCACCTGATTGTATTTGGGTTAAAGGATATTCTGTTCCATCTTAAATGTTAGTAAACATGGGATGATAAGTACTGATAAAACCCTCACAACACCAGATGAGCCAAACATTATAAACGTTATTTATTCACATTCAGGACGGTGGGTCTGACTCATGAAGTGGGTTTCTATAAATGAAGATAGGGGGCGCGGTTTATTCAAATTACACACAAGCTTCTGATGCTTGACGTACTATCACACCACAGTAAATACGAGCTTCTCATTGGCTTAGGTCGGCTGGTCTCATGACAACAACGGCTGAGCTTAAACCAATCAGATGTCGCTCTGGGCCACAGAGTATGTTTGCAAATGACGTAATTAGCGTAAAACAAGATGGCGTCGCCTTGGAACTAAATCGCAGTAGATGAGTATATTGGTGATAAACTCTGCCTGCCTTCGGGCACCAGTGTTGTAAGGGGGGTTTTATTGATTCAGGACACGTTTTTGGATCAGGTAGGAGGGCTGGAAGCGCTGTGAGACGCCCAGGGGGGGAGGCCACCGACCTTGTTTGTTCCCTCCTCCGAGGCTCCGGTGATAACCGGGGCTGCTAGCATCTGACAGGATGGATACCGGAGAGTTCATCTCCTCCATGGAGAATATGGACCCGACGTTAGCGGAGTTAGGGGACGAATTCACCTTAGGAGATATTGACGGTGAGTGAACCTGCTGCTGTTGGCACTGTTCACTGTTGTTTCCACAGAGTCTCCCTGCTGATACATGACAGCGGCTGTTTACTGAGGGAATCATTTGCTAATCGGGTGTTAAGTTTTTGTTTTTCTTTTCTTTTTAAACAACAGATTACCACTAAATGTCAACAATATTATGACAACCAGGTGATTTATATTTGCCTGGAAGTATTTATTATGCTTATTATGTCTTAATTGAAAAAAATGTAAATTATGAGTAATGGGGAAATTGTTTTAGGACCCCACCCCCCCCACCCCCCCCCCCCACCCCCCTTCAAAAAAGAAAAAAAACAACAACAAACAAAAGACACAAAAAGTAAACAAAGAGTAAAGACAACATTTGGGGTAACCTCACTGCTTTCCATACCACTGAAATGGCTGAAATGTAACATTTCCTTGGTTGTTGTTGCTTTTATTTATTTATTTTTATTTATTATTACCTCTTATGCTCCTCTTTCACTTTTCAAGATGAAGCGCTGAACTCTGCAAGCTTGAACCCACTGAGCAAATTTGGCAAAGAGTAAAAGGTCTGATGGGAAGCCAGTCAGTGCAGAGTCAACAGTTTTCCCACCAGAATGCACAAACTGATGGACAGAGCCTGGTGTGGCTTTGTTTGGACACAGCTTGTTCTATTCTTGGGTTTCCATAATCCCACTAATGGCATGATTTCACTAAATTTGATGACAAATAAAAGAGAGATTCCAATGATAAATGTTTGTTCATATCCTTGTGAGCAACCAGTCTAAAGCAATAAGAAAAAATAGAAAACCACCAAAGAATGACTTGAACTTTATGTTATTAAAATGAAAAAAAAAATAGTTTTGGGAATTTGAATCCTTCTTGTTTTGTTTGGGGGGAAGTTTTGCCGACAGCTGATGTGTCTTATTCCAAAGTTCTTCACCAAATATTAATCTGTGTCTCTTTAAGTAAAAATGTATTTAATCCTCATCTATCCTATATAGAAACGATTTTTCTACATGATGCAAGTGGCCCAAAAAATACATATTCATCTTCCCAACTTTTCAATAAAACAGTGCTGTCAGATGAGAGGAATGTACAGATGGCGTGAGAGAAGAGTGACTGATGATGGATTGACAGACAAGCTGCAGCTTCTCACTTATACCCAACAGATTTGACTTTTCTTATCCTGAGACCTGGTCATCTGGTATAAACCTAACCTGGTTGCAGAAAGGATAGGAAATCTTTTCAAGCAGTAATTTAAAGGAATTTTTTGAGCTCATTATCATCATTTGCTGAGCTACTGCAGCTCAGCTTACATAACACGTTTTCCTCAGGAATCTGTTCTCTGTTAGAATGATTTATGCTTCCCAAGTTATTGTCAACTCATCCGAAACTTTGCGGTCTAGGAGCTGCATTGTCATGTCATGCCCTCCCCTGCGGAGGTGGATCAGTGGGGCTACATGAAGGTTCCATACATTCATTACAGTGTATTAGTTGGTAGCTGCTGAGTTTGTTACTGAGCCGTTTGCTTATTTGAATCTATAATTTTATCTTGATTGGCCTTGTATCTGCTTTTTTTTTTCCACTGAGCTGCTGCTGGTTATAACCGTCCCTGGAATCTGCTTCAGTAGCTGTACTGGGAGGGTGCACTGGTATACACTCCTGAATGAATACATTTGGCATGATTGTGATCATTTTTCAATGATGGTGTTATGATTGTCACATTCCATCTTAATAAGCTCTATTCAGCAAAGTTATTTGCTTTTGATTGCACCCTTTTTTTCTAAGTAATCGACTGAGCTGCTGCAGGGTGCGCCTCTATTTTTCTCTATAAATGATTAGTGCCATGTCAAAAGAATATAATGAAGGTAAAAACCAAGGAGCAAGACCTGAATGGTCCCTCCTTCACCATCTAAGCCTGTAGATAAAGCTGCAGCTCTGCTGGTGTCCTTCACCTCATCTCGTCCCGGATGAACTTTGTCCTTTTGAAGCTACCTGCATCAGAGCTGAGCTACTGCTTGATAATTTTTTGTTGTTGCTTTGTGTTATTTAAAACAACATATAACACCAATAATTAAAGTTAAAAAAAACAAGCCATATGTTAGTTAGATGGGCTCTATATTTGACTGAAATGAATTATATAAACCCTTATTATTGAAAGATTGTCTTAAAATTGTGCTTTTAAAGCCAGTGACCCTCTTCTTCTAATGGTTAAAACTTTCTCAAACTTTCGTGCACTATGGATTGCTTTAATTTCAGACAATATTTTCATGGACTGATCTGTAGCAGAGGGTTCCTGCTCTCCAATTGGTGAAGCAGTTTTGAAGGCGTCATCGCCTCATTAGAGAGCATGTCTCAACATATGATGCACAGCGGGGTTGGTACTTGGTGATAAATCCACATTTCTTAGAGACTTAGACAAATTTTGATGTCATTTTGTATACACGAGTTTATACAAAATTAAATAACAGTAAAATGAACATTACCATTATAAAGTGCAGTAGTGATCATTATGTAAAACGTAGGAAAAAAGGAAAACCAGTTTTTAAAAAAATGGTGCCAAGGGGAATTAATATGGAAAGGTTCAGTGCAGTGCAAAATAAATATGGTGCAAAATGCGGTAGAACATTTAGTCCTATTTAAAAGGATTATAAAAGTTTCAGCCACGTTGGTGGTGCAAATTAATGTTTCGACTGTGATGTGTGTCCAGTTTAGAGTTAACAGTTCAATAGTCTGATGGCAGCAGGGAAAAAGCTGTTGCAGAACTTGCTGGACCTGCAGCGGATGCTGTGAAGCCTCTTCCCACAGGGCAGAATCCATATTTCCTGTAAGATTCTTGATGATGCAACTTTCTTTCTTTTGGTGGACCCAGGTTCGTCTTCTGTCCCTTTAATGGACCGTTTTACATTAAGAAGTACACTTTCTAAGGATGTTTTTTCTAGCTCTGGGTTTAAAGTGGAAGGTATCACTTGATCTACGTTGTCATCGTGGATGTATGTCAACATTGAGCCTTCATTTCCCATCACACCTATGTGATGAAGGGACAGCTGCTTGTCCAACTCTTGTTGCTGTTGCACCAATCGGTCATCGTTTCACTGACTGATCATACCTGAAATGAGACTCTGCTAAATACAGCCGCCTGCAACCTCTTTCAACAAGTAGGAAAACATAATTTGAGCTGTGTCCCATTTTTCTTTGAGATACAATTTCAGTTCCTCCCAGTAAAGTCGTCATTCGTGCTGCGCTGTTATAAAACGGACTGTTATAAAAATATAAAACTTCCTCCAGTTTCATAACTAATCATATTCCTTTGCTTTCTCCTGTATTTTGGGTTTCAAGACAGTGGGGTTACCCACAGAGGTGTTACCCACCTCTGTCTGTGCACTGCCTGCCAGTTTGCTGAATGAAGGCTGCTACAATTTTCTTTTCTTTACACGAATTTTACTTTTTGCTGTTTGGAAACACCTGCAGCCATAAAAACCACGGATTCGCCGTGATATTGAAGCTAAATAAGCGCATCTCATGACTGCTGGGAAGTTATGCTGCTTCAGAGCAATTAGATCTGAGAAAAGCGTAGCTAAACAGCGCCCCCTGGAGTCACTGAATCCAATGCAGCACTACAGCTTTTTCCCTCTCAGCCTTTAGTTTTTATCTGGTATGTTGTTATTGTACGAGTTTCCACTTCCCACTCTAAAACCGAGTCATTTCAGGTGCTTCTTCCCGTTATGTCAGATCTTGTTGTTTGAGTTGTCTTTAAGCTGAAATCGGTTATTAAATGCATGTTATAGTAAAGATAAATAGAATATATGAGCCCTTCAGGAGTTAAAACTAATCTCTTCCTACCAGATGCCTTCATTTAATGGAAATTTCAACCCGGATAATTTGTTTTCACCCTGATAGATGCAGTAGAAATAGAGGGGGTTAAATACCGGGCCCAGAATCTCCACTGGTACCTTCCTAATTGTCTAAATTGGCCGTAGCTTTAAATCTGACCGAAGTACGTTAAACGTTTTCATGTTTGATCCAAGTTAAAGATGCAAGATAAAGAGAGGAAGAGATTTCCGTTTGAATTTGCGCTGCATCCCGATCACCTGGCTACCTTTAGCGGTATATATGAATTTATCTGACAGGGCTTCTACTCTGCCTGCAAAAAATATATTTTACTCTCGCTGCTTTGATGCTCACATCTGAGCTAGATCTTGATGAAAAAGATGTTCAAGCTCTAGAAGATAGAGAGCGGAGCTTATTTCACTGTGACAGAAAACTGAAGAGTGAGACGAAATCTGTTCATAACTGTGAATATATATATACATCATGAACATAATACATTAATATTTATATTCTGAATGATTTATGGGTTAGTTTCCTATATTTGTATTATTTTATTTCTTCATTATGTTTTTATATTACAATCTTTACCTGGTAATGTTTTCATAACCTATGGAGTTTTGCCATGCTCTGCATCCTAGTAACTCGGTGTTAAATCTTCAGTTTTATGACATGATGAGGACGGTTGGCTTTGAAGTTGTGTAACAATGGATAGATAACAGATAAAGATAATCGGCGCTATTGGTTTATTATATTCTTTTCATTTCCAGATACGCAGCTAAATTGGAGGTCAAGTCTTGCCTGAAACAGGATGCCTGCTGTATTACTACTGACACACCTCCAAGCATCCTGTATTTAAAACTTCTGTGTTTCTTCAAATAGAATCTAAAATATGTACTTCTTCCCTGAGAAGTTTCACCCTTAAATAAATATGGGAAAAAGAAACTCACGTTTTTACAGAATCAGTCTTATAACATCTGTGTTTATTAGGGGGGCCACATGCCGAAGGCATGGCCCACCTATTACTATTGCACATATTTATTCCGCGTATTATTATTATAGCTTATAGTTCTCCTCGTCCCCTAAAAACTTCGGCGCGTAACTAGTCACGCACCATTCGTCGGATCGGGCCCAAAGTTGGCACACGCGTAGAGACCAATGGGGCGATGCGTGCTTGT